CAGAAAGTGAAATGATTTTTTCTCCCCCAAACATCCTCCCCAGTTTTAGGGGAAGCAAACTTGGCTAAGATAGTCGCTCACCCACAGTCCAGCTAGATTCAGTCTTTGTTTTCATAGCAGTCTGTGTACTCCCGTAGGGTCTGAGGAAGTCCCAGTTTAGGTGGTTATTGGATGTAGGAAAGATCCAGGTGAGGAGGTGATACTTCCCTGATAGCTGAAGAGTCACGAACCCAACAATATGCATCTATTAATCACTGGTGTCACCTCATGAGGTAGAAGTGAACAAGGTTTAGAAGAGGGTCAAGTGTCTGGAAAGGTAAGCCCCTTACCTTGTTATTCCGTCTTGTACAAAGAGTTGAGCCCATTGCAGCCCTGCCCACAGCTATTCTTGTACCCTGAAAATAAAGAGAGAGAAGTTGAGGGGTACATGGAACTTCAAAATAGTTTAAAATAATGTGCTCACTTTCCCTTTTACTGTCTCTCTCTGTCTCTCCAGCAAGCGCATGAGCTCTATGGCAAAAACAAAAACAAAAATACGTACAATAATGTGATGATCGAGGTCACACCTTAGGCAAGTGCTTGTTCAGATGTACATATCCAGAGAGCTTTTGTTCTGTTTAGTTTTGCTATAGGGGCGTATACTCACCAGCACAGAGAGAGACAGAAGATGAGACTCACACCCCAGAGGAGATGGCCACGCTGCAGTCCCTTCTCTACCATTCTCCTCGTCCCATTTTTTGGCATGTATGCACACATATGCACACATGCTGGATGTGATTTTCTTTTTTTTTAAATTTATTTAACTTTATTTATTATTATTATTTTCACATGAGTTTTGCCAGAGAAAGAGAGAAAGAGAGAGAGAGAGAAGCCGCCAGGTCCGGGACTGGAACCGTGGTCAGCCATGTGGGAATTCCAGCACCTTAACCATCACACCACTTGCTGGCCCTGGATGTGCCTTTCAAGCTGCTGAGTCCAGACTCATGCAGTTAGTCATGTGGGATCCAGTTGCCTTAACCTCTCCACCATCTGCTGGCCCAAGAGAGCATATGTTTAAAAATTATGTATTTAACTTTATTGATTATTATTATTATTATTTAATTTGACCAGAGAGAGGGAGAGGGAAAGTGAGAAATTAAGCCACCAGGTCTGGGACTTAAACCGAGGTTGGCTATGTAGAAGTCCAGTGCCTTAACCACCATGGCACCTGCTGGCCCCAGAGAACATTTTTGTATCAGATGTTTTGTAAATATGTTTCAGTGACTCTTGGTTTTCTCTCTCTCTCTTTTTTTTTAATTAGAAATCTCCCATTTTAATATTAGAATAGATATCAAGTAGTTTAATGGAAATAAGAGGCAGAAATACTAAGTTCTGGAGTTCTGGACAAGAGAAGTGGCTCTGAGTATAAGAGATCCTTTTTGTCCGCTCTGCTGAGTTTACCCGCTGCTTGATTGCATCTTCTTCCTACCCTACAGCAATGGTGGTGACAATTTCACTTCTTAACACAGCCATCTCTTTCTTGCTCATTTTCTTTCTTATTTCTTTACTTCTTTAAATATTTTTTATCTCCTTTACTTTCTTTCTTTTTTAAAAAAAGAATTACTTTATTTAACTTTATTTATTTGTTTTAATTTGACTAGAGAGTCACAGAGTGAGAGAGAGAGAGGGTAAGTGAGAAAGCGAGACGATAGGTCAAGGACTCGAACCACAGTCGGCCATGTGGGAGTCTAGCACCCTTAACCACCACGCCACCTACTGGCCCCATCCTTGACTTACTTTCTAAACCTCTTGTATTCACCCTCTTCTGCTTAAGCCTTAGAGCTCTCTTGTAACAGTGGTGTTCCCTGGTTCTGCTATGACACTCAAGGTAGGTTTATCCTTCCTCACCTAAAGTGTCCAGGTTGCTGGTCATCTTTTTCCTGTTGAGGACTGCAGGGAGCATTCAAACTCACTTTCTCAGTGTGTAAAATAGAGGACTATATAAAGCTACTTGTGAGTCATTCTCTCCTTTTTTTTTCTTTTTTAGATTTATTTATTTATTTATTTGCTTATTTATTTGTTTAAATTCGAGCAGAGAGAGACAGAAGGAAAGCAAGCCAGGTCTGGGACTTGAACTGTGGTCTGCCATGTGGGAGTCCAGCACCTTAACCACTACTCCACCTGCTGGCCCCATGAGTCACTCTTAAAGTGATTGTTAAAATAGTCACAAGAACACTCTCCCTTCTTGAAGGCACACTGGCAAGTCAGCACATGTTAGAAATATTATTGTATATCTTAAAGACACATTTGTATTGTCATTGTGTTTTTTCGTTACCTGTTATTGTGATTTGTGAGGGTTTCGTAGAGAAATAGTTGGTCTTCTTTCCTAAGTAAAATTAAGCCATCTTCAAAAACCCTTTTGCCTTGGGGCTTGCAGGTAGTGTGGTGGTTGAGGGTGCTGAACTCCCACCTGGCCAACCGTGGTTCAAGTCCCATACCTGGTGGCTTGCTTTCTCATTTTCTATCTCTCTCTTGCTCTGTCCTTCTCTGGTCAAATTTAAATAAATAAATAAATAAAGTTAAATAATTCTTTTTTTTTTAAAAAAAATACCTTTGACTTTGAAAATAAATGTTGTCTGCATTTAATTCTCCTTGTCAAGTAATCAAATGGACAATGAATCTTCATGCTTTTTGTGTATTCTCTTATTAATACTTTCATAATATTCATATGGTTCATTCTCACATGGGTTAAAACTTCTTATTGAGTTCCTGGGTCTCAAATATATATGCAGCCCTGTTGATCAACCCACTGCTCCAGAAATTTAAGAGCTCCAGCTAATGCTGCAAAGAGAAAGAAATTAAAGGCCTCTTTCTAAAACCATAAGTATATAGATGCCTGCCATGGCTGACCCCATAGAATACTAACAGCAAGTAAATTCTAACTTTTCCTCGAGGTTGAGTGAGCCTCTTATTGTTGTCACATTCCTCATTGCCAGGCTTGGAGTAGAGGGAAAAAGAAAAAGAAAGAAAAAAGAGTTGTGTGTGTGCGTGCGTGCGTGTGTGCGTGTGTGCTTGTGCTAATTGAGACTGATAGAAAAGGAAGTAAGACTTCAGGGCTTTGGGATGTATATGGGGTCACACAATTAGTAAGTGGCAGAGCTGGGACTTGAACCACAATTTGGCACTAACCTAGTACTTTTTCAACCATTCTACTTGACCTCACTTTTCATCACGTTATCCTTTCTTTGACTAAATCTTTATTTTCTCATGTGGGGCCTGTTCAAAGTTGTCGGAGAAATTTTCTTAGTTGTAAGGCCTTTAATTGTATCTTCCGCCAAAATATATGAAGTCTATTTCATACAGTGTGAGCACAGGAAGGCAGGGCAAACCCCCTGACGAGGTGTAAGGTGTAAGGAGGTGCACATTGGCCTGTAATTCCCATTCTCCTGATTTCTAGTCCCTTCTTTGTTGTAAACATTGCCAACCCATAGCTCAGCCAGGCACAGTCCCCTTGCAGCCCAGTGCTCAGAGCTAATCCAATCTTTCTCTCCCTTCCTTCTCTATTTAGTAGGCCTGTCAGTTTTTGACAAGACTCTGCTGGTTACTGGATAATTCCGGATTAAGTAATTAGCCTGCTGGTGTTAAAGACTGATAATGGCCCAATTAGATGACCCTGCCCCATAATGATGTTCCTTGGGTGATTAAGTTTCCCTGGGATTTTTCAGTGGGCTAGTTCCAGAGTTGGGCTGTTTGAGGAAACTGGATACTGACAGGACTAAGTGGAAGATAGGTAAGATAGGTTCAGTGTCCCTGGTCACCGAAAATGAACTTTACCTAGGCATAAACTGATCGCATTGATATCCAGTTCCAAGTGCTGCTCTAGGCCAAAGTCTAGTTTCTTTTTAAAGCTTCGGTTAATTGAGCTTCAAATTCTGCCCAGCCACTTTCATTTAATTACCCTAATCCATAAATGTCTATGGAGTGTTTATTGTGAAAACTAATGGGAACCAGCAGTTAGCATAATGGCTATGTCGCTGGACTCCCACATAGTCGACCGCGGTTCACGTCCCGGACCCGGTGGCTTCAAACTCACGCCAGGCGCATGTGCGTGTGTGCCCAAGATCCTGAGAGGAGAATGGAGGAGAAGGGATTGCAGCATGACCATCCCCTCTGGGGGGTGATTTCTCGCTTTCTGTCTCTATGTCTCTCTCTGTCTGTCTGGCGAGCACACGCGCCCTATAGCAAAAACCTCTCCAAAAAAAGAAAAAACTGAAAACTGAGGCCTCAGTTTTTGTGCATCTGTTTAATTTAAGCTAACAGCTTAACTGTTTGCAAAATTGTATTTTCGTATTCTATACTTTGTGGTCCACAGGATATTCAACCAGAATTTTAGACTAAAGAGGAAGAAAGCCTTAATTAGGATATGATATTATTGAAATTTTACAGAAAAGAAGTTATCATTACATAGTGCATAAACTCCCTTCAAATGTCAGCCTTTTTCATTCTTCAAATATATGTGTATTAACTCATGTTGGAAAAATGACAAAAGACTACGTTGATATTTCTTTAATTAAAGAACAGTTAAGGGACCAGCAGTTAGCATAATGGCTATGTCGCTGGACTCCCATGTAGTCGACCGTTGTTCGCGTCCCAGACCCAGTGGCTTAAAACTCACGCTGGGCGCATGTGCGTGCATGCCCAAGATCCTGAGAGGAGAACGGAGGAGAAGGGATTGCTGCATGGCCATCCCCCCTGGGGGAATGATTTCTCGCTTTCTATCTCTCTGTCTCTGTCTGGCGAGCTCACGCACCCTATAGCAAAAAGCTCTCCAAAAAAAAAAAAAAGTTAAAATCAGTAAATCTGTCATCATCTGTGGCCTCAAATATACATATTTAATATGTCCCTGGGTAAGACCCCTTTTGTTGCCTTATATAGTATTCCCTGGCAATTAAGTTTCTCAATGCCTAAATGTACCACAACCATCTCCTAATTGATTCCTTTATCTTCCTGTTTTCCTCTAGACAATTGAAAATTTTCATTGTGGTAAGAACACCCAGCATGTGACCTGTCCTCTGACAGACACGTTTTTGCAGTGTACAATATATTATTGTTGATATAGGTGCAATATCATACACAGATCTCTAGAGCTTACTCAGCATAATTGACTGAAACATGGTTCCTGTTGATTAGGACTTGGGTGGGAGATCAGTTTTTACATCCGTAAGGATGAATGTTATTAATGTGAGGATTATGCTATGTAGGAGGTCAGTAAATAGTAACTGCTGGTTGGTGAGAGGTTGGAGTGGGTTGACCTGGCTATTAACCATGATCGATGCTAAAATCCTTCAAATATGCCCTTATCCTCAGCCAACAAGGTCACAGGGAAAAGAGCTGTCAGGCATGGACACTCTCAGCAATCTCCACTTCTACTTAAACCAGCCTGCATCCTCACATTCTGACCTCCCTTCTGAGACCCTGGATCCTTTCCTTACACAGACCAACAGCACATTAGACTCAACAAGTCCAAGAGTCACAGCAGCCTCTTCCCCTTTACCATCTTGGTGAATGGGCCTTTGTTCACTGGTAAGCCAGGCGGGATCTGGAGGCTTATTTCTCCCTCATATCCAGTGGACCACAGGTTTGAGCTTTTCATGGATCTATTCCTTCTGTCCACCTCCACCACCACGCTGCAATCCTTTCTCCTCCATTCTCCTCTTGGGATTTTGGGCACACATGCGCATGCGCCCAGTGGGAGTTTTAAGCTGCAGGGTCTGGGACTCAAACCACAGTCAACTATGGGGGAGTCCAGCGATGTAGCCATTACACCATCTGCTCCAACCTCACCTTGGTCAACTACGCGGGAGTCCAGTGATGTAGCTATTACACCAACTGCTGCAACCTCCTAACTCCTCCACACTGACCCACTCTAGCCTATTTCTGGGGTGAACTTCCTAAAATGTAAATCTGATCATGTTCATTACCCCAAAAATCCTTCATGATTTTCTTACAGCTTTTAGAATAAAACTCCAAACTTCCCACCATCTTATTCATGAACTAGACTGTTATATTTCTATTAACTAATTTATTTAAGGATATTTATTGCAGTGAACTTAAAAAAAAAAGACATATACTTCAAAAGGTTTTTTGTTGTTGTTGTTTTGTTTGTTTGTTTTTTAAAAAGGTTGGCCTGTAGCTTAGTGGTTAAGGGAGCTGGATCCTACATGGCTAACCAGGTCATCCCAGTCCTGGCCCTGGTGAATTGAAAAACACACTGAGCACATATATGCATGCCCAAAATTCCTGAAGGATGCAAAAACGGAGGAGAAGGGATTTTGGTATGGTTATGCTCCATGGGGAATGCTTTCTCCTTCTCTCTCTGACTCTTCTTGGCTAGCTCATGTGCCCCGTGGCAATTAAAAAAAAAAAAAGTAAAAACAAAACATAAACAAAGGATATTTATTGAACTCATGCCACTTGCTACATTGTATGTCTTTACTTCAAAGAGAGACAAGCAATTAATAAACAAGAAGACAAACTTACAAGGTAAAAAGATAATCATTGTGTAGTGATAAGGACTATTAAAAGGACACACAGGGTGATGGGACCAGCAGGTGGTGTGGTGGTTAAGGGTGCTAGACTCCCATGTGGCCGACAGTGGTTTGAGTCCCAGACCTGGAGGTTTTCTTTTACATTCCTCCCTGCTCCCCGCCCCCCCGCCCCGTGTCTTTCATGAAATATTAAAATAATAATAATGAATAAAGTTAAATAAAATAATTCTTTTTTTAAAAAAAGGACACAGGGTGATGGCCTAGGAAGTGATAGAGCCTGATTTAGATCAGAGAAGGTGACACTGCGTCTGGGCTGAGGGGAGCATGGGGACGTCTTCCAGGCAGAGGGAGGGGCAAGTCAAGACTGAGGTGAAGAACCTTCTGGAAGGCTGGTGCAGCAAGAAGAGAGGGAGCAAGTAGAGAGGATGAGCTAGTGTGAGTGAGAGGACAGCCTGTTGCGCCTTTGTGGGAGGGAAGGCATTTAGATTTTACTCTGCCTGTAGTGGGAGGCTACTTGCCTCCTTTCCTGCCTTCATACTGCATTGCCTAGCCATTTCCCTTATGTTTCCAAAACCTTTCCCTGGAACAACCTTTCTGTCATTCACTTTTATGCCTTCTCTTCCTTAAGACTTAGATATTACTTCTCCAGGGAGCCCTCTCTAGTGCCTAGGGCACCTAGCTAGTGGTGTATGGCTATTATCTGTTCTCTTGTCTGTGTTCCCCTCAGATTGCAAAGGATGAATCTTTTCCCTTTGTGTCTTCAGTCTCTCTGGCTCTGTCCTGCCTCACACTTGGCCAGCGTTCAGGGAGCCTTTATGAAACCAGAACAAACTGCCTTCTTGTAAATTTCACCTCACTTCCTCCAAAATCCCATGTCTTTCTTTTTTTTTTTTTCAAAGAAAGATTTTTTTTCTATAGGGTGTGTGCACTCGCCGGAGAGACAGAGACAGAAAGCAAGAAATCACCCCACAGGGCGGATGGCCACGATGCAATCCCTTCTCCTCCATTCTCCTCTTGGGATTTTGGGTCACATGCACACGTGCCCAGCAAGAGTTTTAAGTTGCAGGGTCCAGGACTGAAACCACAGTCAACTCCCTGGGAGTCCAGTGACATAGCCATTATACCATCTGCTGGTCTCTCCATGTCACTTTTAAAGAGCTCTCTCTAGGGCTGCATTTCTCATGTGTTTTGTCAGCCACGAGGGCTGAAATCCTAACCTCTGTTGGCCATATTGAGTCTAGCCCTAAATGCACAGCAGTTAATGGCTGTGTTCCAGGGCTGGCCCCTTGTTGTTTAATGCTGCATGAAGACATTAAACAACAAAGAAATAAAAAGGAAACTAGGGGGCTGGCAGGTGGCATGGGGGTTAAGGTACTGGAATCCCACATACTGACCACAGTTCAAGTCCTGGACCTGGTAGCTTGCTTGCTTTCTCACTTTCCCTTTCTCTCTCTCTCTAGTCAAATTTAAAACAATATAATAAATAAAATAAATAACTCTTTAAAAATTAAATCTAGGGACCAGCAGTTGGACTAATGGCTATGTTGCTGGACTCCCATGTAGCTGACCATAGCTTGAGTCCTGTGCCCGGTGGCTTAAACTCACACGGGGCACATGTGTGTGCGTGCCCAAGATCCCAAGAGGAGAATGGAGGAGAAGGGATTGTGGCATGGCCAACCCCCTGGAGGGGTGATTCCTCGCTTTCTGTCTCTTTGTCTTTCTGGTGAGCGCACGTGCCCTATAGCAAAAACCTCTCCAAAAAAACTTAAAAAAAGGATAGAAGCTAGGGACCAGCTCTGTTTAATGTCCACTAATTTTATGATGACTTATGTGTTCTAACATAAGATTTGGAAATCATGGATATAGAGTAGTTGAAGAACTTCAGCTGAAATGAAGACATTTTTGGAACACTTTGAGGGAAGGTCTGCATAAGTTCTAATTCACAATATATACAAATTATAATTTAATATTTAATGTGACAAAGATGCTAAGGCCCTGATGAGCTCTCCACACCTTCCAGCCCTTGTGACCTTGGGCAGGTTCCTTCCCCCAAATTTCTCAGGTGTAAAACAGACTTCTACCTCCTCGCTGGGCAGGCAGTTTGTAGAAGTGTCCTGTTCAGTATATTTCCGTACATCCCAGCTGATTGTGACAAAAACACCGCTCAGGCTTAAGGGTTCCCTGCCGAATTGGCTATTCTCTCAATGATCAGGCCAGTACCAGCTGTGTACAGTTGGTGGTCCATGCTCGAATTTGGCAGGCAGAGAGAGCAAATGCATGCTTTCAGCTGTGTGTGTCCATTACATGTACACTTGGCTTCCCAGCTACTCCATGTATGTAAACACACGTGTACTTCCTCCCTATTTCACAGTGGTCTCCATTACTCTGCCCTTCCAATAGGAAGAGTTCCAGCCTCTATAGGGCACCAACATGGATGGTCATGCCATGGGAAGACTTTACAGACCCTGCTGGAGATAATTAAAGATATAGTTCCAAATTCAGCAGTTGGGAAAAAAGATACTTATAAATACAAAAATATTTCTGCACTTGTGTATACTTTAATATGGAATTTCGTTTTTGTTCATTGAAGGTCGTGTTACAGAAAGAGAATGTATAGATGTTGGATGGACCAACCCTCAGTGTGAATGTTACTTAACCTTCCAAAGTCTGAGTTTCTTCACCTGGGAAATGGGTCTCTATTCTTGAAGAAACACGAATGGGATGAAATGTGTGTCGAGTGCCTAGCACAATGCCCGGCACATGGTAGGCACCTTCATATATGATTGTTGTGCGGGTTCATCGCAAGCGTACTTTCCTATTTCAGGAAAGGAGTTGTGCCTTTGCTCATATTTGAGCTTCCTTCTCCAGGAGGGCCTCTTGCCCACTCCTCTCAACCCCATCTACACTTTGCACTTTAAATCTGCATTCACAGCATATGTGACCCATGGGGTTTCTCCTTCCCCACTAGACCACGAGTATTTCCCCCTACTTTGCATTGATATAACTTGTTTTAAAATAATTATTTATTCATCTTTATTTGTTATTATTATTTTTTAATTTGACCAGAGAGAGAAAAAGAGAGAGGAAGAAAGATGGGAAGTGAGGAAGCAAGTCGCCAGGTCCAGGACTCAAACTGTGATCAGTCATGTGGAAGTCTAGCCCCCCAGCCACCATGCCACCTGCCAGCCCTTAACACAACGTTTTTATTTGAAAACAGCTATAGCTCTTTAGGTTTTCATTCTTGCTCTGGAGATAACTTTTTGTTTTAAATTTGCCAGAGGGTACATATACTCACTGGAGGAGGGAAAACACAGCTCCCTCATGGGAATGGTCATGCTGCAATCCCTTCTCCTCCATTTCTCCCTTTTTGGGATTCGGGCCATGAAAGTAGATGCACACTGTGTATTTCTCAAGCCCCCACATCCCTGGACTCAGACTGCAAGGTTGGCCATGTGGGAGCCAGTCACTTTAACCATCACACCACAGGTCAGCCTGTTACATTTTTTTGAAGAATTGCATTGAGGTATAATTCACATAAATAAAGTACACATGTTTGGTAAGTTTTGATGTATGTATACATCTTTGAAACATTTACCACAACTAAGATATAGAGCATAGCCATTACCTGCAAAAATTTACTTTTTTTTTTTTTTTAAGTTTTGCTATAGGGTGCATGCACTTGCTGGAGAGAGACAGAACGAACTCATTTCCCAGGGAGGGATAGCCACACCACAGTTTCTTCTCCTCCATTCTCCTCTAGATTTCTGGCATATTCACATGCACCTAGCATGTTCTTTTTAGAGAGATTTTTGCTATAGGGCACATGCGCTCACCAGAGAGACAGAGACAGAAAGTGAGAAATCACACCACACCCCCCACCCCAGGGGGAGTTGTCACGCCATAATCTTGTCTCCTCCATTCTCCTCTCAGGATCTTGGGCATGCACGCACACATGCCTGGTGTGAGTTTAAGTCTTCAGGTCCAGGACTCGAAATGCAGTTGACTACATGGGAGTCCACCGACGTAACCATTACA